ATATAAGAATCTGTCAAGAATTTCCTCTATATTTCAGTCTTTGATATTTTCAAAAGAGCTCTCTCTCTCTCTCTCTCTCTCTCTCTCTCTCTCTCTCTAACCCAACAGTTATATCAAACCATTTTGTCTAAATGTGTTGTCCGGCCTTATTCTCTGCCCATTAAACGCCTAAATGAGACTTTTTGTTTCATATGTTTCTTGTGTTATATTAATGAAATAAAACACAGAAACCGGATTCAAATATAATTTATTTGTGAATAATATTATATAACATATAATTTTTTATGTCATATAAGAATCTGTCAAGAATTTCCTCTATATTTCAGTCTTTGATATTTTCAAAAGAGCTCTCTCTCTCTCTCTCTCTCTCTCTCTCTCATCATATTATCTATAAATAATTAATTTATTTTATTCAACGTTTTGCTTGAGATTAAATAGACTTTTGTATTATATAAATGCATATTAAATGAAATACAAATAATTATTTGATTGAAATGCATACATTGAAATGTATAGGTTTGTGTGTATTTTATCATTTTAAACATAAAATCTAGTTTAGTATTACTACATAAAAACGCAAACAAATTTATGTAGTTTATTGAAATTCAAGAATATTGTGTCCGTTGGGAACGTACTGTTAAATTTCTAATCACTTGAGAGTCTATACAATATAATAATAACTCAAAGACTAAATGCAAATAAAATTCTTGTAAAAACTCAAACATTAAAGAAAATTCATTGACAAACACAATGAATATGTAATTTGTCTCACAATCTCTTGATTTTAATATAAGAATATATTTTTCTATTATTTTATTTCTTTATTTTTCTCTCTCCATCGTTACCGACAGCTCTCTCTCTCTCTCTCTCTCTCTCTCTCTCTCTCTNCTGAGAACTGATTTCTTTCGTAATTTTTATGCATGAAATCGATTTTCTCTTCTTTTTCTTTGCCTTTCTTTCACTACAACTCTCTCTCTCTCTCTCTCTCTCTCTCTCTCTCTCTCGCACTCACTCTTAACGAGCGTTTTATCCCTCCTTTCCGTTTGGACTGAAAGCACATGAAATACAAAACCCGTAAGAAATATATTGAATGAATATATTATACTATTTATGGCAAAAGAGTGGGTTATCATTGGGAACAATGGAGTGCTTGGGCTCTGAGTATACATCACTCGTTTTGTATTGACTGACAGAGAGAGAGAGAGAGAGAGAGAGAGAGAGAGAGCTGATCGATATTTATCTTTTTCTCTCTCCCTCCCTCTCTATCACTATTTTATCAGATTTTTGTCTATTGATTACTCTATGAGTATTAATACATGTGGAGTGAGAGAAGAGGTGTCTATCGATTGGTTTCAGATATAAGATATACCGACGAAAGAGATATAAATGAAGAATAAGAAACCGGAGATTAACTGCATATTAAATGTTGCTTTAAATATATTATATATCTATTAATTAATCATAAACTCAGCGTTTAGTCCTTTGAAACCAATTTCGTATATAAAATTCAATACAATTTATATATTCAATGGACAAATGTGTTGCGAAAGACACAGAATAACAACATCTAAACCCAAAAATAAATTTTGTATTCAATTATTTATCCAACAAAAAAATTGTTGCGAAAGAGAAATAAAAAGCCAATTTTGGTCTAAAATTTTTATTTATTGATCGCGTGTTTCGTTATTTTTAACCACAATTCAGATATGAATGTAGTTTATAAGATCGTTTGTCCCCACCCTATGGGTTTAACATGGAATCCCATCTTAAGTCTATGGCAATGCTAAGTCTGTGGGCTAATGTTTATTCCATGGCAATTCTATAGAGAATGTTATCTCTCTGGTACTAATGCTAATCCTACGACAATGCTAATTTATTCTCTGACCATCACACGAATTGTGGTTAACGTATAAAATCGCAATGTGAACCTTGTTTTATTTAATAACATTTTTATTCATTGAATTACATTACGGCTAAACACCTTATATGCTGTGAAAATATAATGGTCTGGATTTTTGCAATATTAGGTGTAGTTTTCTGGCGCACAAAAGTGTACAGCAATTATTGAAGTACTGGTGAAACACCATTTCGTATAGAATTTGCAAAATTGATATGAAATGAGGCGAGAATTCAGAGAAAATTCTCTTATTCTTATTTTATTCTCTCTCTCTCTCTCTCTCTTACCGCATAGCATCTTCTCAAGCATTTCAATCTCTTCAATGCCCACAATGTCTTCTTTGGCGCAAACCATAAAAGTTATTGAAAAGACAAACACAAGTTTGAAGACAAAACTCATGTCTCCGTTAGTCTACGAAACACTTTATGGCAAACGATAAAATTCCCTACAATTTGAGGCTTTTATTTGATCGAAATCTGAACGAAAAGCACTGCTTTTATAGCTTACGAATGAAGTGATGAATCAAACAAAAAGCAATGTATAAAAGAAAGAGTAGTTCTTTGCAAATATTTTTACAAAATATTATTTTAGTTTTTGTTTATTTAAATAAATGTTTGATTTAAAAAATATTTGACAAAAATCTGAAAATAATCAAAGTTTACATTACAGACAATGCAATAAAATATATGTTATTTACTTTTGTGTTTAATATTCTCAATATTTTTTATCCATTTTTACAGACTTTATACAACAAATTCAATACAAAAAGCAATCAATTTTATTTATCAATTCTTGTGATATAATTCTGTGAGCGGTCTATAGTTTCGCGAAACATAATATACTCCCAGATATTTATACTATAATTGTAACGCATTTTCAAACACTTTTCACACCACTTGTAAGGCATAAAAGTTGTTTAAATGCATAAATTAGTCGGACTTAGAGTTAGTTATTTAGTGGCAAAAGAATTGATTTCAAATTAGAGGCACTTTTGCTGTGCGGACAGTAAAAGTGAAGGCGCGGGAAGAGAGAGAGAGAGAGAGAGAGAGAGAGAGGCAAAGAAGGGAGGCATCACTTTCTCTCTGTTGCCTGAATTACTCTATTGTTTGGAATTTAATGTTAAAAAAAACTTTTCTGTGAAACAATTTGGTTGCAAACCTGTAGTAGAAATGTTTTCACTCTTCAAGGATAGACCCAAATGTTGGTTAGTCTGTGTATACAAGCGTATGAGGGGTAATGATTTACAGCTATTCATTACAGCCATTAGGTATGGGACCAAACATTGTTGGGATGAGAAGTAGCACTGCTTTCCTTTTATAGCCTCAAGAAATAGGGAATTAGGGGTTTAGGGGTTTAGGCCTCACAACAGACACAAATACAACTTTTTTCTATTATTGAAGTATTCAAGTATTGAAGTAGTGATACGAAAAACACTGTTAAGGCTAATTGCAGTGCAAAAAATATAATTTTAAAAGTATATAATTTCGCCAATCATTCAAATAAGCGGTATTCAGATTTACAAACACCGGCTCATAATAGGCATAGAAAATGTAGGTAAAAGTTTGAATTTTATTATTTTCTAGAAATGGATTCTCTCTCTCTCTCTCTCTCTCTCTCTCTCTATTAAATTAAAAATTAAAACTCATATTTCACTCACTCTCTCTCTCTCTCCACCTCCCAACTCAATGACCATTGAAAGTCATGTCGAGTAGAAGTCAATTGTGAACCCCAACAGCACAACAGCACCCACTGAGCCGTAACCAAGCGGTAGATTAAACAGAATATTTAATAAATATTACATTTTAAATACATAGCAATTACTGAATAGAGAGGGAGAGAGACAGAGAAAGTGAGTGAAATATGAGTTTTAATTTTTAATTTAATCAATGGTTTTCTATAAATTTTAAAATACAAGTTAAGAAACTCTTTTACATAACTATTACTTAACTGAAAGCCAAGAAATAATAATAAACTGGAGTTGAATGAAAGGGACTGAAAAATATCTCTACACTAATCGTTATCCTTGAAAATGATTGATAGACAGGATTTTCAGAGCTCTTCTTTGCATCAAAATATATACTGTTTTCTTATGTAGACTAACGGTTAGTGAGAGTCAGACATACATACCTGCACTACCTGTCCGTCGTTATTATATATGTCTCATTTTAACCTAATTTCTCTTTTCACTGAAAATAACAATTTATTGAGTGATTTAAAGAATTTATTTGTGATAAAAATCTGTTTCAAAAATATATTTTATTAATAATTCTCTTTCAGATAAAGCCGTATCTAAAGAATCAAAGGATAAGCTAATAGATTGCATGGAAGAGAATTTGCCATTTGTGGTAATTAATTAATAAATTACATTTAATTTACTGCAAACATAATTTAAAGCATTGATTTATATGTTTAAAAAGCAAAAATTTATTAGTTTTTAGATGCAATGGATTCGTGTATTTATGAGGCGCTACCGAACGCTCTGACCAGAGATGAGATCCAGAGATCTCTCTGCAAGAGTGAGAAGACCAGAACACAAGTCCATAATTGTGTTCAACAAAAGCGCAAACAATTGGGAGATATTTCACAAAACGCTGAAATCGTCAAAAAGATAAAATCGCTGAAGACTTGTATCAGTTCTGTGACCGATAATAAGAAACAGTGATTTAATGAGTTATTTCCAGTCTATATATTAATATAAAGTTATAATATTTTATAAAAAGATAATTTTGCATTTATAATTAATTTATCATAAATATTATACAAATATTTAGCAATTTATTATTATTTTTTGTTACCATTTTGTTAAATATTATATATATTTAGATTACACAATAAGATTTAGCTCACGATTCGTCAAAATATATTGTATATAAATAAATATTTTAGAAGTTATTTAACTTCTAATTATAATCTTAATTACTATTCAATAAATTAAGAAACTATTCATCAATTAAATTGAATTTAAATAAATGTGTGGGTATTTGTGCTTAAGGGAGAAAATTGGCAAAAATATTTATCACAGCAATTAATTACATGCATTAACAGTAATTACTAATTACCAAATAATAATATATCAAACAATTTATGTTATACTTTAAGTTATAGCTTTTTCTAAGAAATATAATATTTCAAACCGATATTTCTTACAATTAATGCATTTTAAACACAATTTTTGCAACAAATCTATGATTGGTTTAACATCGAGTATGCACTATACAGTAGTGTGACTTTAAATGCAATTTTAACTATGTGGTTAATTGATAAAAATAGTAACCTTAATCACTTTTGGTAATAATACTCTTATTTTAGAATAGTTTCTATGAATTGATTGAATTTTCATTAATCCAATAGTATTGATAATGCTGTGAAATCTCTTGATTTACTATAAATATATGCATTTCTATTAAATTTAAGTGTATAAATGTTTCCGTTGTATAACATATAATAAATCCAGTGATTTGAGTCAACCCTTGTTTCTCTCAATAAAATAAGCGATAAATTATTTGAAATGCAAGACATGTAACACTCGTATGAGAGCTGAGATCTGTTGTGTTCGGCAATTATTAATGTTACTAAATATAGAGGAATTGTTGCATAAGTTTTGCATTAAATATTTTTTATACTGTATTTGCCTTTGAATATCAAGTTTAGCGATACCTTAATCTAGAGATCATTAAAATTATTTATGTCTTCAAAGAGTAATTTTTATATAAACGAGAAGTCAAAGCGAGATATTTAAATAGTCCACCGATTAATGGGTTAATTGTGAATAAAATTCATTATTACAAACAAAAACATGTTCATTATATCTAATGTGTACATAATATATAAAATTGCAATTAAAAGTATAATTAACTGGAGTTTTGCTAAAATATTTTTAATAGTAATCGATAAAATCACAAAAGATTTTATTATAAATTAATGAAATTATTTAGACGACACAAACAAATGATGATATTATGTGAATTCAACGAGAGATAAATTTAAAGACAAGTTTTGACGACTTTTGTTGTTTTTAGTACAAATTAATTGATAAACATTTTGATTGAATACAAACCAAAACATAATTTTATATAAAACTTCTTATTTCTATAAGAAATTAATAAAATGTTTCATTTCTCTGTAAATAACTGTTATTTTAATAGTTTTGATGCAAAACTTAGGACCAAGTAATGACATGATGTGGTTCTTCGTCTACAATGACGAGTACTTCCTGAGTCCGCGGAGTAGTCGTCAAACTCTACCGACAATATCAACAAAAGTCGATTTTAATTAATAGTTTATATTTTAACACAAATAGTATTAACATTAAAGTCAAACAAACTATAATTTCGAGAAAAATAAAGTTTTTTTTGGTATAATTAAATCATATTCAAGTCAAATAATAAAAATCAAATTCGACACAAGTTATGATTTATTATAAAAACTGAACACAAATTAAATTTAGTTATTTTGTAACAAATATACTTGAAAATCAATACCAATGATAAAAATAATGTATTTTTCGATATAATAAACGCATAAAGCATTTTTCAATTCAACACAAGTTTTGATTTTAATGCATAATATGTTTAATTGTTGTGATAAAAGTGTTATACAATTGAAACTTATGTTACGTTAAATGCAATCAATTGTCATTGAATTGATTACAAATAATTAATTTATAAAACTTTCAAAGTTTTATCGGTAAAAACTTTGTGTCCAAAAGTTGTGGACGTAATTAATGAGTGAATTATTATGAAATGAAAGCACATTTGATGTGCAAATCAATGCCTTTTTAACGTTTGTTTGCGTTTTTGTTATCAAATCATATGTTTATTACAAAAACACAATTAAATGAATTAATGAATGAAATTGTGTTAAAATAGTGACCAAATTGTGAGACAATGAGTGCTTTAATACGAAACAAATCGATAGCCAATCGACCAAAGGATGAGAAAGTGATTGAATTGACGGATATATTGAAAATGTCGGACAAATCACTGAAAGACAACACTTTTAAGCAATTTGTAAATCACTTGTTGTTAAGCACTGATTGCCAGTCAAAGGGTTGTCACGATTTGGTCCAAGTGTTGACACAATTGGTCT